CTTGCACCCCTTCTCGTTTACCGGTGAACACGCGACCTACACGCGCACAGCTCTCGCTCCAAGTCGATTTACCTACGCGTTCAAGCTGTTGGCGGAGCCTCGACCTTTCCAGCCAGTAGGAAAATTCCGATCCCGGTGGTCCTCCCTTTGATTTACGCTCCAACTCACACACCGACGTTTCCGAATACCCGTCCGAATCGAACGGGGGAAAAAAACAGAGAGAGAGAGAGAGAGAAAGAGAGAGAGAACATTCCGAAATCGAGTGTGGGGTAATTGCTGTCGAACGAACGTGGATTTGATTTTTTTCTGGATAATCGAAGTTTCCGTGGGTTTCTATGTGAACACTTCAACATAGTTTGGATTCTCTGGCACGATTAATGTAATATCATTATTGAATGTCTGTAACTTATAAGCTAAAGTTGTGCATTCTGTGGAACTTGAAGATCGCAATGGCGTTAATAACTACAGTTGCGTTAATGCGATTTTTTTATCCAATTAATTTATATCATCAAATTCAGTTTTTCAATATCGCTGCTATAGATTAATTGTTCGTTAGTGCATCGTCTAAATCCTATAATTTTGTGTAATTTAAAGGGAACGAAGTACTTATTAGCATTTGTAGAAAATGTAAAAGTGCAGATATTAGATAAAATGGATGTAATATAAAAAAAAAATGTATAAAACATCCAGAATATAACACTTCTGATGATATTACTTAGTAGATATATAATCCTTGTAAATATCCTTAAAAATATGAATTGGCATATGATATTCGTATAAATTTATGTGGAATATTTATAATATTGATTGAACTAATTGATTTCAAAATTTACTTAGAAGAAATAAAAAAATTAAGTACATGCAATTATATGTAGTTATATATAAAACTTCTATAAGATTTCTATAAAATTCGCGACATTCTATTTTATTTCATATTAATAGCATCACGTTTGTTTGAACGACGTTTCATAATTCAGTTCTCATCTGTACGTCGAATTAACTCGACACATTACAAAAAGTGATATTATTCTGTCGCAAATAAGTACACGAGAGTAAGATTGGCCTGATCAAGTAAAAATTTAATTTAAACAGATTCAGTTGATGTTAATGAAAAGAATTTAACTATTCATCTTCTCGTTCTATTAAAAAAACTGGACAAATTAAATTGAAAAAATGAGAGAGCCGATGAATTCAGATCCAAAATAAGATAAAAGGGCAGTAAAATAATAATGTACAAAAATCATACCTAATGCTTCAGAGGCTACGTGGAAATTCGAATATCTCGTATCATGAACGAAAGATGGAAGCTGACAGCAATGGTAGCCGTTTCTCCTTGAAAATATCTGAATCGATCTTTCCACCCCTTGTATAGGTACCTATGGAAGCCCGGCCACCGGCGTCGCGACGCCTACTCGAGCTCCACCCACGTATCTCGTACATGCGCAGCGAAAGTTCGGCGATCGACATGTCAACGAAACCATTCGTAAAATGTATTGTTCCTTAATCAATTCGGCGGCAATCAGCTTGTCTACATTTGGGGGCGGTAACAGGTTCTCACAAACGTACGTCGTTGCACCGATTGCGGATCGGATCCCTAAATAACAAAAAGTGAACGAAAATGTAACGAGCTTACGTTTGATCGCGAATATCCTCCGTATTCTGTAAGTTATATCAAATAAAACGAACATATGCTGATATAGTTCTAAAAAGTTTTACATGAAAATAATGTAAAGAAATGTACAGACTGTTAATATTGCTTGATTTTAAAAATTATTGATTACAAGAAGGTTAAAGCTTATTTTTACCAGACATACCAATTAAAAAGAGAGATAGAATTGAAATTTGTTGATCATTAAAAATTTAATAGATTCCATATATAATACAAGTCAAGAGTTACGTAGATTTAAGCATTGGAAATTAAATATGTAAAAGATATTTTTTGTGCTTCTTAACTTTCTTCATAATAAATGATAATAATTCATTGTAAATTTATAATAATTTTTATAATAAATTTTATTCTAACATAGCACTGCATATGATGTATATTTATTCTCTTTCAAATCGTTTTATTTAAAAGCTACGAAAGATACGAAAATGTTTAAATTATTAAATTAAATAAATTAAGTATTTAAACTTTAAGTTCTCTACCTTTTGGTTTCACAGATTTTTGAATCCCACAAATGAAACTTTCGTGAAACTTTCTCGTGTGCTGATTAACGTTTCGAAGCACATTTTGGATGATCCTACATGCACGGAAATCTTTTTTTGATAAAATAATTCTGTTTTAATTATTAAACAGTGGGGTATGGTTTTCCACCACACTCTAAAAAATTAGCTAATTGGAAACTCGACAAAGATTTAAGACTCAATCGATGTAAGTCACTTCTCATTCAAAATTAGTGCCATAAAATTGATGGAATTTAGTCATTAGAATTCTAATAATATTATCATAAATGTTCGTATGGGCGGTATCTTCCACACGTAACTTTATGGTTTCAAATTTTGAACAAAAAAAAAAATTTCACTAATCGAATCAAGCTTTCATACCATCGCCAAATATTTCCATCCTTCCAAAAACTTTTCGAAACAAGTGAAAATTTTTTCTGTTCGTACAGGCACACCGACTAAATGGCCAATCGAATAAACCTCGACTAAGGGGAAGAAAAAACAAAATTTCTGTTTGTCACTAAATTAAGAAGCATTTAAGGTATCACGGTATATCTGTATCGTAATAGCAAGAACATAGTGTAACGATACAATGAACGTGCTTGCACAGAAGCAAGCAACCTATGTAAGAGCGTAAGAAGAAGCTTGCAAGTGCAATTTTACGAGAAGTAAGGTCGACCCCCGTTTTTCATCCCTGGCTCGTGATTTAGGGTATGTTTACCTGCAGTTAAGTACCTTGACGCGTCCGTGACGACGAGGACAAGCCAATTTGGCAGAAATAAGGGGAACGCTGCAGGAAGGCTACTTCAAACGCATAGAATCCTAACAGTTCCTGTAAACATACACGCTCATCCCCCTTTTAGCCCTGCTGGCACGTAATTCGCTCTACATTCGTGACAAAACTGTTTCCACGTATAGAGAAAGTTCGTCGTGACTTCTATACTCACCCGGTGTGTTTGTAATACATGTGTTTGCTGTGAATATTAGGATAGGTGGGTCCTTCCTTTTTGTAATGACAAACCAAGAAACGTCCGAGGTGTTGGACAATGAACGAAAAGTATAAGTATCTGTTAAAATGTTTTTAATTTGACAATCAAATTACCTACGAATAATTCAATTTGATTAATCGTCTATCCGTACATGATTATCGATCATGTAAGTTTCCAATCAATTTTATTATTCAGTTAGCTGATATGAAACAAGTTCCATTTTAGGCAAACTAGAAGCCATAGATATTATAATACATGAAAGAGTAGAGCGATAATAGTAAGATATCGTAATAAGTTGAATATGTATAATTGGCGCATCTTAGTTTTTTTCCTTTAACTTCCATAATGTTCCTGTAATCGTTTTTTTAAATATAAATATATATATATATATATATATATATATATATATATATATA